AAAAAACGGATAAAGAAAGTCTTATCAGATGTGGAATTTATCATAGCTTATGATGATGCTATTATTGTTTTTGAAAATCAAAGTGTAACATTTGCAGCTAAACGTACCCTTTCCTTCAGACGGAACGTTCCGCTCAAACTTTGTTGCCGTCCAGAAACGTTCGGTAAAAAAAAAAAAACAGATAAAAAGCAATAAACACGAGCAAATCGGGAGATACTTACGAGCTTAGATCCACAGAAGAATTCCCGACGTTTATAGAAACGTTTTCGGCTACCTCCACCATCGTGATTTCAACAAATCTACAGAAAAACCATCGTGTCCTTCACTGCAATCACGCTCGTGGCTTGCTGTGATGTGACGAGCTTACGAGTTGCCCATTTTTATACCGGAAGTGAAAGCTATTGGGTAAGCCTACTTCCTGTTGAGTCATACTCTGGTGTTCATTCTCCCTCCGTTTCTTATGACGTCTTGCATGGTCGCTTGGACCAAGGAAAAGGGATTAGACGAGGAAACATAGTGGGTACTTTTTTATCAAAATGAATGTTTTAAGAACTTGCAAACTGTTGTCCAGACTCGGACAGTCAACGGTAAGCACTTTATCTTCTTAATTTTTGTAATTGTTCGTTTTTCTTGGTCAGACGTTCCACCAAAAGATGTACTTCGCGTTTTACAACTGTGCCATGCATGTGATATTCAAATTTATAGGGGACGCCTTAGACCTGTTTCAATCAACCGATATTCGCAACATCTGATTTTTTAATGTGTTATCGTTCCTCCAGCAAATAGTCCAACAGGGGCTGATTGGCAGTTTGATAAGGCTTCAGTCAACACAGTCAGAAAGTTTGGTAAGTGATTTTCATTTACGATATCTTGCATTGAGCTTACATGTAAACTGATTAATATCTTCTCGATTATTTAAGAGCTGTACTTTCTTTCCTATTTTCTTCATCGCCCATCAGTTACTCCACACCACTACATGCATCTTTTCGGTTTGCAGAGCTTAAAGGAGACAATGTATCGCGTGGTTCCAGAGAAACAGAAAGAAGTTGCAGAATTCCGTAAAGAGTATGGTGATAAATCTTTAGGAGAGTACACGGTTGACCAGGTATATTTCACACATAGCGCATATTGTGTCACGATTTCGACAATTGCGTCACATTTTCTCTGTGATTTTTGTCACGTTGTTACCTTAAGGTTTAAGATTTTAATGGTAAAATATTTTTATTTTCTGGCCAACTATCGCCTGTAAGCTATCGCATCTTTTTTCCTTCATTGTTTGACTGTCCTTGTGTACCGGTAACGTAAATAAGCTTATATAGCGAAATACAATTGATTGAATTAATAATTAGCAATCGTGTCAGACACGGAAGCGAGAGAATATTGTACAGTGTTTGAACCTTAAACAATAACTCGCACAGAACCCCAAAAGCTTCAGCAATGTTTCAAGAATACAATAATTATTGTTTTAATTAGTGGCAAGCATTATTGTTATCCTTTTAGAATTTTAAGCTGATACAGTCAACTCTCTGCTAATGGACACTCTTGTAAGCGGACAGCTCTACTTACGGACACAGTTTACAATTCCCCTTTTTACCTCCCAGTCAAACTCTTTACTTACACATTTTCGTAAGTAGACACTCTCGTAAGCGGACAAAGACACTTTTGAAAATGAAAAATTGGAGTTTTCTTTCGTTTACGCTCTCTCATAAGCGGACACCCCATGTATAATAATTGACACTTGGCAATAAAATTTGGCTTTACCGGTAATTTGCAATTAATCAACAAATATACTGCATGACCCCCACAAGAACTGTCCATTTGTTTGAAAAATCAAGGGGTCTGACGAGTAACATTTGTGTCGTCACATTTATTTTATGGCCACATTCTGTTTTCAATCACTGAGGGTACTGAGTGCTGTATCCCAGATAATCAAGCTTGGACTTGGATAAGCAAGCTCGAGCCATGGTAACAATATAACTAGGGGTGTAACGATTTATATTCCTTGCGATTCGATTCAATTTTGATTATTACCTCTTGATTTCGATTATTTCAATTTGATTATGCAAAACATTAATTTTTTTTTAATTCTTATAACATGATACACAATGTAAACAACATACAACCCTAAACCCTCAATTTTAGGATACA